GTTCGGCAGTGGCAGCAGCGGCTTGGTAGTGGCGGCTCGGCGGCCTCGGCGGCTCGGCGGCTCGGCGGCTCGGCGGTTCGGCGGCTCGGCGGCTCGGCGGTTCGGCTGCTTGGCGGCTCGGCGGCTCGGCGTTGAAGGGGCCGGGGAGGGGCCGAAAGGGGGCGGCAACGGGGCCGCTAGGGGCGGCGACGGGGCCGCTAAGGGCGGCGACGGGGCCACGAAGGGGGGGCGACAGGGCCGAGAAGAGGCCGCGAGGGGCCGTGAAGGGCGACGACGGGGCCGCTAGAGGCGGCGTTGGGGCCGCACGGGGCGGCGACGGGGCCGCAAAGGGGTCTGCGAGGGGCCTCGAAGGGCGGCGACGCGACCGTTAGGGGTGGCGACGCGGCCGTTAGGGGTGGCGACGGGGCCGCACGGGGCGGCGACGGGGCCGCAAAGGGGCTGCGAGGGGCCTCGAAGGGTGGCGACAAGGCCGCTAGGGGTGGCGACGGGGCCGCTAAGGATGGCCCGAGGGGCCACTAGGAGGGCGCGTCAGGCCGCTAAGGGCAGGGGACGCGACGAGAGGGCGGCCCACGGGGCGCGCCTCGGGTAGGGGCGGCTCGCGATTCGGTCAGGAAAAAAAAAATCGATTTCAGTGGTGGGCCCTAAGAAGCGTTCCCACTAGGGAGCCTGCTCTATACCATGTGAAGAAATGAGGAATGAATGAACTAGCAAGCAGGTGGGTACAAGTAGGAAAACCTAAAAGTGTTGTACCCCATATTGTCTAACCCACTGCAGCCTACACAGACTATAGCTTATGAGTTTGACATGATCCACGAACGACAGGCGGCAATAGGCCTCCCAGCAGGAACCTTCTTATGAATTTTCAGCAGCACGTAGAACGCTGGCACTTTCTAGCCGTTCTTAGGCCGATCGAAGAAAGAGTTCCACATCTTGGATTTAATGAGCGGGTCCCATTCAGAGCAAATAGAATGTAGCTCTTAAAGTATGTTAGAGACGGAGACTGTATAATATTCCTTGTAGACCTTTTCGTTGAGCACGTGTTTCAGACATTGCTCCTGATAATATTCTATGCTCATAACTGTCAGGCCCAGGTTCTTATATGCAGGCTTGAAAATGATGTTAGGATTATTGGCAAGTCGTCTTAAAGTCGGTAGCACATTCTTATATTTCTGCTTCAGGGTGGAGAAGTTCAGTCCAGGTTCTTCCTTAAAGAGCTCCAGTGCGGTTTCAACTTCAGGTGAAGCTGCCGGTGGGTCCCTGTTTTTTCGTTTAGGTAGTTTGTACCCTGAGTAACCAGAAGAGTCGGATCCATCGAAGAGAAACATAGTACGAACACTCCTAAGAAACGACAAGACCTCGGCTTCCATTCTAGCGACAGTGCGAATGACAAGAACAGGTATGAATTTCAGTCCTAAATTCAACAGATCAAGCTCAGGTTTGGAAAAGGTATGGTTGTAGTTATGGAGTCCTCGGTTGGTGATACGACATTGCAATAGATACTTCGTCTGTGGTCCGAACAGTATCAATGCATAACGTGAGAATCCTAGCCACTATCCACTGGGATATAAGGGCTTGTTTGTATAGCGGGTGAGTGCGCCCATAACCCCCCAAGTGAACACGCCTGTAACCCCCCTTAGGATCAATCGGGCATCCACAGTGCAGATCTACTGACACCCCCCCCACACTAGGAGGCCTAGGACTGAGCACAACGGCAACGGCCTATAAGTGCATACACCGGGATTCGAACCCGAGACCGCTCTGATACCATGTCAGAATTCCAGCCACTAACCACTGGGATAAAATGGCTTGTTTGTGTAGCGGTGAGTGCGCCCATAACCCCACAGGCGAACACGCATGTAACACCCCTTAGGATCAATCGAGCATCCACAGTGCAGATCTACTGACACATAAGTGTGAACATCAGTGACTACTACCAAAGTCATTTTTCCGCAGCCTCCTCCTCCCCGTTTTTTAACGCAGTTTCTTTGCGAGATGAGGTGGAAGCAGGAGCGTTGCGGTTGTCGTTAGCAGGCTTGGAACTGTTGCATACGGCCGTCTTAGAATAAGATCGGCCAATTGACTTTACAGAAGTACGTTCAGCTTCGTCGGATTCCTACCTCTTGCAATTGTTAGCAGCACCCTTGCCGTTGCTAGCAGCACCTTTGTTGTTATGACGGGAACCCTTATCATTGCCGGCCTTAGAAGGCTTAGAAGCCTGACGAGGCTTAGGAATAAGGTTCATCACAATCTACAAGCTTGAAAAATGCTCATCACCCAATACCAGGCTTGTAGATCTTCTTCAAGTGAAGTTCTCAAGACCAAGTCATTTTCCTAAGTTACTCCTACAAAAATTATAAGTAAGATCTGCTCAAGTAAGTACCTACCCTTCTCATTCTCTCTCCAAGCCCTCATCTTGTTATAGACCAAGGACGGAGTCTATGAAGATTAGGAGCCGAAATATATCAAAATCGTTGGGCCTAGTTTCTGGGCAGGAAAGTCGAGTTCACAAGAAACGCCGTCGACACAAATTGCACAGTCAAAACTTCATTAAACTCAGATACGTTGTATCCCTAGTCAGTGGCTACAATTCCCAAATTGAATCGTACGATAAGGTGAAGTATTTCTTGAGTTATGAATTTCGGCGCACTAGGGGGTAAGCTGCCATAGAATCTTAACTCAATCACAATTGTCTCATAATTTCACACAAGAGTGTTAGAGTAGCAATTAACCAGGTGGGAGGGGAAGAGGAGGACGAGAGGGAAGGTCCCCAAGGATTCCCCAACCAAGGAAACCCCATAAGCACACCAAATCCCTTCCCTATAGGAACCCCACTTTGACCTTTGTCCATTTCCCAACCTCCACAATCCTCCTCACCCAAGTTGGCCACACTTGCCAACCCAATTTGGTTTCTCCCAACCACTTGGCAGCATCTACAGTGATGGGGACGAATTCTCCAACCCCCAAAAGTCTGTACCGCTTATGGAGTCAACCCCACAACTTCCCATAGTCACCACAACCAAATATCAAAAGCATACGAACTTCAAATGTTCGTAACTTTCTTGTTCGTGCTCCGATTGAAGCGATACTTGGCTCGACGGGAAGCTCTTGAGCAGAGGAGTCACTTCAGATATCTGCTCAAGCCAAATAAAATTTTCACACACTCAGAGAATCCAAACCACAGAAAACAAAAGTTCTTGCACACGTTTACACCACGCTTGCAACGCACGAACATATGATGGGAGGCAGACAGACGTGAATGCAAATGATAGCATCACATAACACATCTGTCCATTCTTGTTTGTGCTCTTAACACAACAATCATTCCACCTTACACAAGTTTCACCTTTTAGTCCCAAAGATTTTTATTCACTTTCTCTTCTCAAACATATTACTTTCTCTAATAATTGAGCTACAGTTCCGATGTTGCATCCTTGTCTTATTCAAATGTGCAATCATACTCCTTTGTCCTTTTCTCAACTCTCAACTGATATCAGAGCTAATTAACTGTCAGAACATATAGCTTACTTATTTGTGTAGGCTGTAGTGGGGTATCCCATAGGGGGTACAACCCAATTAGGGTTTCCTATTTTGTACTCACTTCGTTCATAGTCATTTTCATTCTCGTTCTATTTTTCTCATGGTATCGAGCAGGTTCCCCTGTGGGAACTGTGCTTAGGGCCCACCACTACTTCGAACTTTTTTTACCCGCAGCGCGCTCTGGGCTCTCTCTCTTACTTCTCTCGACCGGCCCTTAGCCGCCCGCGGCGCCGCCCGTTCAGGCATCACGCTGCCAGTGCGCCGCCCTAGACGCTAGCACGCCGCCCATCCCGGCCCCGTGCAGCCCGCGTGCCGCCCTTAGCAGACCGCGCGCCGCCCTTAGCAGCCCGCGCGCCGCCCTAAGCAGCCCACGCGCCGCCCTAAGCAGCCCGCGCGCCGCTCGCCCGGCCCCAGGCCGCCCACGCGCCGTCCGCGCGCCGCCCTTAGCCGCCCGCGCGCCGCCCGCCAGGCCTCAGGCCGCCCACGCTCCGCCCGTGCGCCGCCCTTAACCGCCCACGTGCCGCTCGTGCGCCGCCCTTAGCCGCCCCAAGCACAGCCCGTGAGCCGCCTGTGAGCCGCCCGTGAGCCGCCCGTGCGCCGCCCGTAGCCGCCCGAAGCGCCGCCCGTGAGCCGCCCGTGAGCCGCCCGTGAGCCGACCGTGAGCCGCCCGTGAGCCGCCCGTGAGCCGCCTGTGAGCCACCCGTCAGCCGCCCGTGAGCCGCCCGTGAGCCGCCCGTGAGCCGTCCGTCCCGGCCCCGAGCCACCAGTGAACCGCCCGTGAGCCGCCTCTGTGCCGCCCGAGCCGCCCGAGCCGCCTGAGGAGCCGAGCTGCTGTCCTGTGGGGCTGGGTGTTGCTACTGGGCCAGCAGAGCTGCTGTGTTGCCGTGTTGCTGTGCTGCCTGAGTTGCCCAACCCGTCCTGTCTGGTGAGCACAGCTCCACTGCTACTGCGTACCCCTTCCCGCACTGCTTGCACTGCTAGTCTGTCGTCATGGCTACCCCTAGTGTCCTAGCTTTGACGCTGAGGGTCGGGCCATTGACTTTGAGGTCTGGGTCGACGACCTGCAGCTGTTCTTACAGTGCGAAAGGGCAGACGGTCTTTCTCTCTTTGACCTCACCTCTGGCGCCGTCCCTGCCCCTACTGCTGATGCTGACGCCACTGTTCGCTCACAGTGGGCCATGCGCGATGCTGCTGCACGTCTTGCTGTGCGTCGCCACCTGCCTACCGTTGAGCGCGCGCACTTTAGCCAGTACAAGAGTGCCCAGACCTTGTACGACGCTGTAGTTGCGCGCTACTCTTCCCCTGCCACTGCTGCACTGAGCCGCCTCATGCTCCCCTTCCTCTTCCCTGACCTTGCCGCCTTTTCCGACTGTCGCTGATCTCATTACGCACCTCCGCACTAGTGACACTCGCTACCGCGCTGCGCTTCCTGCTGACTTCTGCGCCAAGAACCCCCCCCCCCCATGTACATCACTCTCTACTTTTTAGTCACTCGCCTCCCTGACTCCCTTCGTGTAGTCCGGGACCACTTCCTCGCGCTCTGTCCCACCACCCTCACAGTCGACAGCCTTGAGAAGGCCCTCCTAGCGGCGGAGAAGAGCATAGTCGCTGTAGGAGCCTCTCGAGGTGACCCCGGCGCCCCCATCTTTGAGGGGTGTTCTCCTTCCCCTCTCCTGCCCTCTGTTGCCTCTGCCGCTGCGGCCGGACCTCGTTGGTCTTGAGTCGGTCGGTGCGGCGTCTGCCCCTAGCGGGAGACGCCGCTCTGGCAAGGGCAAGGGGGGCAAGGGAGCGGGTGGGGCCAGCGGGGGCAGTGGAGGTGGAGGTGGAGGCGGCGGAGGGAGTGGGGGTGGCGGTGGAGGGGGTGGGCGGGGGTGGGGGTGCTAGTGGCGGCAAGTGGAGGCGGGGGTAGCGGCGGCGGTGGTGGTGCGAGCGGAGGTGGCTGAGGCGGCGGCGGTGGAGGCGGAGGCGGGGGCGGAGGAGGCGGAGGCGGGGGTGGCGGTGGTGGAGGTGGTCGGAGTGGCACTTCGCAGCGGAGCAGCACTAGGGGTGGTCAGCGCCAGCAGCAGCAGCAGCAGGTAGCAGCAGCAGCGTTCTCGCGGACATCCCCACCCCTCAGCAGCTCCGTGAGTGGTACCGCAGCGTCAGCGTGTGGGGTTTTAGTCCCATGCACCTATGTTTCTTCGCACTGGCGACCGCGCTGGAGAGCAGTGTGGGGGTACCCACACCGCCCAGCGCTGCTTTGGCCGCTTGACGGACGCTTGGCGCCAGCAGTTCCCGGAGGCCGCGGAGATCCCCCGCTGGGGAGAGCTATCTAGGGCTGGTGTAGCTATCTTTGATCTTGACTTTGATGCTATCCTTGCTGCCATGTATGCTGTGACCATGAGTGATGAGGGTGACTATTACCGGTGTTTCCCGCCCGACCCGGGCATTGGTATTGCTGCTCTAGGTGCCAGCGAGGCTTCTGCTCTAGGTGCCAGTGCGTCTGTGCTCTCAGGTACTGGTGAGGCTCCTCTCTCACGTTACTAGTGAGTCTGCGCTCTCAGGTACTGCTTCGGCTTCGGCCTCCCACACCTTCACCCTTGACTCTGGAGCGTCTCGCTCCTTCTTTCGGGACCGCACCACCCTCACGCCGCTTAGTCGGCCGGTTGCGGTGTCCCTGGCTGACCCCTCTGGGGGTCCTGTTCTGTCTCGCTTCTCCACAGTCCTCCCGTGTCCGGCGGCTCCCTCTGGCACCCTGTCTGGTCTCTACCTCCCTCGTTCTCTACGAACTTGGTGAGTGGTGCTGACCTACACGATGCGGGAGTCCACCAGTTCACCCTGCTCGTCAGCGAGTGACGCACTGGACAGAGGCTAGCACAGGTCGTAAACTGGCTACGTTTACACGTCAGCCAGGGTCGAGCCTGTACACACTGACCACTGCTTCTCCTACAGTTCCTGAGTCTGGTAGGGTCCCCTCGTCAGGTCAGGTGTTTGCTGCAGCGTCCAGGTCTGGTCCTGAGTCTGCCCCCTGTTCGTGTCGTCGCCTGTCTCACGAGACTCTCCTCTGGCACCACCGCCTGGGTCACCCCTCTCTGCTTCGACTCAGAGGCATGGCCTCCCGTCTTCTTGTGTCTGGTCTTCCCCGGTCCCTCCCTCCCTTCCTCAGGGCCCTGGCCCTGCCTGTGTCCCCTGTGTTGAGGGGCGCCAGCGTGCTGCCCCTCACTCCTCCCAGTTCCTCTGACAGAGGCTCCGTTGCAGACGCTTCACATGGACGTGTGGGCCCTGCCCGCGTCCGTGGACTCGCGTCACGAGCGCTTCTTCTGTTGGTGGTTGAACGATACTCGCGTTACACCACAGTCTTCCCCTTGCGCAGCAAGGGTGATGTCACTGAGGTGCTGATCCGACGGATCCGCGCAGCTCTTCTCCAGCTCAGGCAGAGCTTTT